ATCCATGAAGCGATCCTTGTACATACCGCGCAAAGCGTGGGTACCACCAATACCCGAACCAATACAGTTACCAACCTCAGACAGGTGGACATACTTGTAGAACTCGTAAGGGTCGGTGATACCGGCGGAAAGCATAGCCTCAGCGGTACAGACCAGAACAAAGAGGGTCACAGGATCCACCTGCTCAATAATATCGTCGGGGATACCATAGCGGCTGGCGTCCCAGCCTGTGGGCACCTGACCGGCGACAAGACGATCGAACTGCAGAGCCTTGGGGATAAGCATGGTGGCACCCTTGCGAAGACGGACAGTGTACTCTCCAGACTCGGGGATCTCGAAGATCTCGACCTTGTCTCCATGCTCACGCTTGAACTCTTCGGCTGTCTCCTTAGAAGACTCGAAAGGTTCGAGGTCCTCCTGGATGACAATTTCTTGGAGAAGTTGCTTCTTCTTAGGATCGTATCCCTTGAACAACTCGGGCTCGATGAGACGGATACCAGTGTGCTCCAAGATGTGCTTCTCGTACTTGGGCTTGACATCCTTGTCATCAACGGGCTCACCAGTCTTGGCATCAACCCAACCAGAGTAGGCTTGCCCCTTGAGGGGACCGTTGTGGTGCTTAATCAGACCCATGATCCACGCCATTTCAACGCAGCCCTCCAATGAGAACTTGCCCTTGGATTCCATCTCCCATCGGGTACGGGAGTTACCCCAAGGACCGACTTCAGAGAAACCAGTGACAACGACAACCTTGTCCAGGTTGACCATGCCCTTAAGAGACTCATTGAGCGGCTTGACTTCCTTCTCCCAGTCGGGCAGGTTAGGGAATTCAAACTTGATGTTGGCACGGGGCTCAGCAACAACCTTCTTGTAAAGAACGCCACTGTCCTCGCCGTTAACGACCTTGTGCTCGATGGCAGTCTCCTTGATGACAGCCTGGCGGACATCGCTGGTCTCCATGATGTCGGTGCGAAGCTTGGTCATCAGACCCTTCAGGTCGGGAATGAATTGCAGACCACCGTTGAGATCAGCAAACACTGGGTCGAGCTGGCAGAGGTTGACGATGGCCGGGGACATCAGTCCGAGAAGGTTGAAAGCCATCTCCTGCTGGGAGAATGTGCGGACGCCAAGCTTCTCGACGCCTTCAGCGACCATGTTGTTGCCGCTCATCAGACCAGTACCACGGGTCCAGCCAATGACCGCACCACAGATGGTGAGGTAGTGGCCCCAGTTCTCCGAGTACCAACGGTTGAAGAGAGTCTCCAGAGCAAGCTTGGACTCGGAGTACAGGCCATCATTACCGAAGGTGCCGTGGTTGGGCGACAGGGGCAAGACAACTTGAGCGGGGCGAGTCTCGAAGCCATGAGCTTGCTTGTGGGTCTTGACCGAACCCAAAAGACGGAGCAGGTTGGTCAACATGATACGGTGAGCAAGTTCGGACTTGGAATCGATAGAGTCGATCTCGCGACCGTTCTCGGGGATGGCAGCGAAGGGAACGACGAAGTCCAAGTCCCAGCCAAGACCCTTCTTAGTGTCGTAGATGTAGTCAACCAAAGCCTCAACATCCTGCTTGCTACCTTGGTTGAAAGGCACAACCACGAGCTGGGAACCACGAGCACCGTAACGGGCGTACATGGCCTGGTAATACTCGGTTACCTCGCGCGAGAAGCGACTGGTAGTGACAATGACCTGAGCACCACCGCTGATCAGACCTTGGAGGACCTCAGCACCAATGGAACCGGCACCGGCACCGGTCATCAGAACGTTCTTGCCCTGGAAGCTAAGACCGTCCTTGGCAGCTGACTCCATCACGTTCAGATAGATGCCAGTCAGCTTCTTGTTATAATCCCAGCCGTGATCAGTCTTCTTCTTCAGGTGCAGGAAAGGAATAGTTTCCACCTTTCCAGGGCGGGTGGTAGCAGTGCGCTTGCTAGCACTACGGCCCTTCTTGGAGTGGCCATTCTCCTGAGGGATAATTTGGCTCTCGTTCATGCCAAGAGCGTGAACGACGTCCTTGTACAATGCATCAAACTGGATCTGCGACGACTTGGAGAGACGATGCTGCTTGCGAATGAGCTTGTAAACACTCTTCAGGTCGTTCTGAACCTTAGTGCGGTTGCTGTACTCTGAGATAGGGCCTCCCTCAGCCATTTGCTTGACGTAATGCTCGAGCTTGCGAGCGCTGGTGCGAGGAGTTTCCTTGTAGCCAATGTTGCCACGGGCATCGATGGTTGTTTGAGGACCAGTAGGGACAGCGACGTCCTTGTAAACTGGGGCCACTTCCAACACTTCACGACAGTTCTCAATAAGCTGCTGTCCAAGTTCCTTGGCCAGCTGGTATGTCTCTCCGCGCTCAGTTGGGCAGTTGTCGATGTGGTACTGCATGAAGTCGAGGAGGAGGGGGTTGGAGCGGTTCATGATGCGGATACACTGGCTGACAATTTCACGGTCTACCACCTGCAGGCGGCCAAAGATAATATCGTAATACATGCTCAAGGCATCTTGGCGAGCCCAGTTCCATGAAGAGTCGTAAACACGGGCCTTCAGCTGATCGAATGATGGCTCGATGCCCGAGGCGTAGAAGTCGCCATGCTCTGCTTGCCACAAGTCCAGCTGAGCCTGCAGCGCTTTCTGGGTCTCTTGCGATGTCACGTAGGCCTTTTCACCACCACGGAGGTCCATCTTGAGGTAGCGGGCAATGATCTCAAGCTGCTGCTTGAACAGAGCTCGTTGATCCTTGGTCAGAGCATCAATGGCCGCAGGGTCCATGACCATGCCACCACCGCCGCCGCCACCATCACCACCGGCAACCGGAGCCGAAAGGTTGATTCCGGCGCTGGCGGCATACTTGTTAGCCAAGTCGTCGAGATAGGCCTTAGCATCCGCTTCCGATCCAAGACGAGCAGCAGGCTCCATGGTGAGAGCAAGCAGGAGCACACCATCCTGGCGGCCGGATCCCAGACCCCAGCGAGTCTCCAGGTATTTTCTAACAGAAGTGTTGTTGAAGCCACCGGGCATTTTGGAGGAGACCATTCTGGCGATGAGCGAGGAAGACTGCTTGCCAAGTTGGCCGTTGAATGTGGCTTGCATCGAGGCACCCAACTCATCGAGGGGAACGTCCTCGGGCTTCTCGGGTGTGGAACCGAACTCCTTGCCCAGGTCACCTAGGATTTCATTTTGTAATGTGGACTTGCCTATTCACAAGTTAGGTTAGTACTTTTTTAGGGGGAGGTGAGGGATCTGGCTGCACTTACCTCCAACAAGGTCCTTAATGGCTTTTGACAATGGGACATCTCCCAGGCTCTTCTTTAGCTTCTGAGCAACCAGTGTCCGCAGAATGTCGACTGCTGTGACCGGGACATCTTCCACTGAAGCAGCGGGGCCTGCACTGGGGGGGTGGCGGAGGGGCTCCAGCTGCAGGAGCGGCAGCTGGTGCTGCCGCAGGGGCACCCGAGGAAGCGGGCTCTGCAGCAACCTCTGGCTCTTCCTCCGCGGGCACGACATCATAGTAGATCTCACTGGCATCCTTATTATAGCAGAGAATCTGACGCTGGACTGAAGTGGCAGCATCGTAAGCCTCGTACTTAGAGGCTAGTGTCCGACGGGCCATTCCTCCAAGGGTATCTGCGGGACCGATCTCAACAATGCGCTCGGTGCGCTGTTCGGCGAGGATCACATCTTGGGTCTCGATCCATCGGACGGGGGAGGCGAATTGGTAGGCGAGCAGCTCCACCAACAAGGTGTGAGCGAGCTCTTGTTCAACTTCCGGACGCATGATAGAAGTAATGGGTATCAATTGATTAAACAGAAGGACGAAATTAGGACAAATGTCCGGGTTTGGGGGCGCGACAGAGTCGTCGTAGAGTGCCCAGGCGGAGGAAGGAGTGAGTAGGGGAGGTTGAGTTGAAGAAAAGTAATAGGAGAGAATTAGAATAGGAGTCAATCCTATGGGTGAAATGTATCAGTGAAAGTCCCCAAGACAAATTGGATTGAACCAGAAAGAGGAAGGGAAAAAAAGGTGGGAAAGGAAATGGAGCACGGAGATAGATGTGGTATCAATTAATACCGGATGGTAATTTTCTCCCAGTTTTAAACAGTGAACAATGAAAATAAATGACAACGTACCACTCACTTCTACACTCCGTAGACAACGATGGAATTGAAAAGATGATATTCGGGGAATAGGAAGAGTAATAATGCTGATGATCCCACAAAATTATCAAGTCATTAAAAGCGAGATTCGGAGGAATGGGGAGGGACGAGGTCAAATTGGTGAGGGCGTTGGGGGTTCCAGAGCTCCCGGCCGAAGGATCTGACACTAAGCACCGATTTGCCGCATTGCGTGGATCATCTAGTAGCTGGGGTCAGGGGAATATACTAGCGTGTTCTGTTGTAAATAGGAATCCCAACGGCAATTACCAATCGACCCAATAAGATAGGTAGATTATATTTATGGGCTGATATCTAGATAGCATTATAGATGTTTACTATATTAAAATATCGAAATATAAAAACATAAAAAATATGAAAATATTAAAAATATCCCTTTTCAGGTTCAAATTACAATACATGTGTAACACAGTGTACTAATTCCCAACGGGTTCAACCCAAGTCAGAACCCATTGGGGCGGGTCTCCCATCGCGCTAAACCCCTTTGAGCTGTCTGCAGTTCAACCAGAGACCTTTTTTTTCTTTCCCTATTGCTTCCTTCCCCTTCAGGCTCAATTGTGCTCTGGACCTCTTTTCCTATTTTATATGTATATCTGTTGAAACTGTGTCCCTCTACTTTTCTTTATTCCCTTGATAATACCCCCCTTTTTTTACTTCAAGACCTTCCAAAGACTCAGGTCTTCCAGTGAGTTGGCCCCTCTACACCGTTTGATGTTGTGCTTGAAATCTAACAAGGAAACTCAGGAAACCCCTCTTCGATTCTAGGGTCCCTCTGGTCTTTTCACTCTTAATCTCCTTCTATTTCCTTTTAACAAAGAGAGAACGACATCATGTACGGCACATTGACCGGTCCTCAAACCGGTATCAACACCCCCCGATCCTCTCAATCCCTCCGCCCTCTTATCCTCTCGCATGGATCCCTCGAGTTCTCTTTCCTCGTCCCTACCTCGCTTCACTTCCATGCATCGCAGTTGAAAGACAGCTTTACTGCTTCTTTACCCGAGCCCACAGACGAATTGGCCCAAGATGATGAGCCATCATCAGTGACCGAATTGGTCGCCCGCTACATTGGCCATGTGGCCCACGAGCTCGAGGAGGAGGACGATGCACAGGGCAACTACCTGGACGTTCTGAAGCTCATCTTGAATGAATTTGAACGTGCCTTCATGCGTGGTAATGATGTTCACGCCGTGGCAGCTGCGCTCCCCGGCATTGTTGCCAAGAAGAACCAAGTCGTTGAGGCCTACTATGCCGGGCGAGCTGCGGCGGGCCGGCCCACCAAGCCCTACGATTCGGCTTTGTTCCGTGCGGCATCCGACGAGGCCGCGGGTATCTACTCGGTGTTCGGTGGCCAAGGCAATATTGAGGAGTACTTTGATGAATTGCGCAACATCTACACCACGTACCCTTCTTTCGTCGAAGAGCTCATTACTTCCTCCGCCGAATTGCTCCAATCACTCTCTCACGAGCCCGAAGCTAGCAAGCTCTACCCCAAGGGTATGAACATCATGAAATGGCTGCAAGATCGGGATGCACAGCCCGATATCGATTACCTGGTGTCCGCGCCCGTGAGTCTGCCATTGATTGGTTTGGTCCAGTTGGCCCACTATATGGTTACCTGCAAAGTCCTGGGCCGCCAGCCCGGTGATATCCTGGAACGCATCCTCGGTACCACAGGTCACTCCCAGGGAGTCGTCACCGCTGCCGCCATTGCAACCGCTACCACCTGGGAGTCCTTCGCCACAGCGGCCCAGAGTGCTCTGACCATGCTGTTCTGGATTGGTCTGCGCAGTCAGCAAGCCTACCCTCGCACCTCTATCGCCCCGTCCGTTCTCCAGGACTCGATTGAGAATGGCGAGGGAACCCCCACTCCCATGCTGTCCATCCGTGACCTCTCGCTCGCCGCTGTTCAGGACCACATCGATGCCACCAACCAACATTTGCCCGAGGACCGCCACATCTCCATTTCCCTAGTGAACAGTGCTCGCAACTTTGTGGTGACTGGTCCTCCCATCTCGCTCTACGGTCTGAATGTTCGCCTCCGTAAGGTCAAGGCGGCCACCGGACTTGATCAGAACCGTATGCCATTCACCCAGCGCAAGGTTCGCTTTGTCAACCGTTTCCTCCCTATCACTGCCCCCTTCCACAGCCAGTACCTTGTTTCTGCCTACGACCGCATTCTCGAGGATCTGGAAGATGTTGTTGACATCTCCGCCAAGTCCCTGGCGATCCCTGTCTTCCACACCAAGACTGGAGAGGATCTGCGACAACTAGGCGACAAGAGCATTGTGCCCTCGTTGGTTCGCATGATCACCCACGATGCGGTGAACTGGGAGAAGGCCACTGTCTTCCCCCGTGCAACCCACATCGTTGACTTCGGCCCCGGTGGCATCTCTGGTTTGGGCGTTCTGACCAACAGAAACAAGGACGGTACCGGTGTTCGGGTCATCCTCGCTGGTGAAATGGACGGAACCAATGCGGAGGTCGGCTACAAGCCAGAGCTGTTCGACCGTGATGAGCATTCTGTCAAGTTTGCTGTTGACTGGGTTAAGGAACACGGCCCTCGCCTGACACAGACATCTACTGGTCAAACCTACGTCGACACCAAGATGAGCCGTCTGTTGGGAATCCCCCTGTCATGGTGGCTGGTATGACCCCCACCACCGTCGCTTGGGACTTTGTGGCTGCTACTATGAACGCCGGTTATCACATCGAGCTGGCTGGTGGTGGCTACTACAACGCGAAGACGATGACGGAGGCCATTACCAAGATCGAGAAGGCCATCCCTCCCGGACGTGGTATCACTATTAACCTGATCTATGTCAACCCCCGTGCGATGGCCTGGCAGATTCCGATGATCGGTCGGTTGCGCGCGGAAGGCGTGCCTATTGAGGGTCTGACCATTGGCGCTGGTGTGCCGTCTATTGAAGTTGCCAATGAATACATTGAAACTCTTGGTATCAAGCACATTTCCTTCAAGCCTGGCTCCGTTGATGCGATTCAGCAAGTCATCAATATCGCCAAGGCCAACCCTAAGTTCCCCATCATCCTTCAGTGGACTGGTGGCCGTGGCGGTGGTCACCACTCCTTCGAGGACTTCCACCAGCCCATTCTCCAGATGTACAGCCGTATTCGCAAGCAAGATAACATTGTGCTTGTTGCCGGCAGTGGCTTCGGTGGTTCGGAAGACACTTACCCTTACCTCTCGGGTACGTGGTCCGCCAAGTATGGCTACCCTCATATGCCCTTCGACGGCTGTCTCTTCGGCTCTCGCATGATGATCGCGAAGGAGGCACACACCTCTTACAACGCCAAGAAAGCAATTGCGGATGCCCCTGGTGTGGACGATGAGGAGTGGGAGAAGACCTACCAGAAACCAACAGGTGGTGTGATCACTGTTCTGTCCGAGATGGGTGAGCCTATCCACAAGCTGGCCACTCGCGGTGTGCTGTTCTGGGCGGAGATGGACCAAAAGATCTTCAAGCTGGACAAGGCCAAGCGTGTCCCTGAGCTCAAGAAGCAACGGAACTACATCATCAAGAAGTTGAATGATGACTTCCACAAGGTCTGGTTTGGCCGCAACGCTGCAGGCGAGACTGTGGATCTGGAAGATATGACTTATGCTGAGGTCGTTCGCCGCATGGTGGACCTCATGTACATCAAGCACCAGTCGCGATGGATCGATCCCTCGCTCAAGCGCTTGACGGGCGACTTCCTCCGTCGTCTCGAGGAGCGTTTCACTACGGCTGAGGGCCAGGCATCGTTGCTCCAAAGTTATTCCGATATCGATACCCCCTACCCTACCGTGGACAACATTTTGTCTGCTTACCCCGAAGCTGCCGATCAGCTGATCAACGCGCAGGATGTGCAGCACTTCCTGCTGCTCTGCCAGAGACGCGGCCAGAAGCCCGTGCCTTTCGTCCCCGTGCTGGATGAGAACTTTGAGTTCTTCTTCAAGAAGGATTCTCTGTGGCAGAGTGAGGATCTTGAGGCTATTGTCGATCAAGACGTCGGCCGAACCTGTATTCTTCAGGGTCCTATGGCTGCCCGCTTCTCCAACATCATTGATGAGCCTGTCAAGGACATTCTTGATGGTATTCATCAGGGACACATCGCTAGCCTCCTGCGTGATGTCTACGGTGGCGACAGCACCAAGGTTCCTGTCATTGAGTACTTCGGTGGGCAGCTTCTGAACACCACCGAATCTGAAATTGACGGTTTGGTTATTTCGGAAGAGCCAAGCAAGACCAGCTTCCGCTTGTCTTCCACTGCAGCCCTACCAGACTCGGACCGCTGGCTCGGTCTTCTTGCCGGTGACGTTTACTCCTGGAGACATGCTCTGTTCTTGGCCGATGTTTTCGTTCAGGGCCACCGCTTCCAATCCAACCCCATGAAGCGGATTGTCGCTCCCACCGCAGGCATGTATGTTGAAGTAACCAACCCCAATGATCCTCCCAAGACTGTCATCAGCGTGCGAGAGCCGTACCAGTCTGGCAAGTTGGTCAAGACCGTCGAGGCCAAGATCAACGAGCAGGGACAGGTCAGTCTCACCTTGTTCGAGGGCCGCACCGCCGAGAATGGCGTTGTCCCTCTGGACTTCTTGTTCACATATCACCCCGAGACTGGATACGCCCCTATTCGTGAGGTTATGGGTGACCGCAACGATCGCATCAAGGAGTTCTACTACCGCATCTGGTTCGGCAACAAGGACGTGCCCTTCGACACCCCCACTACTGCCACCTTCAGTGGTGGCCAGAAAACCATCACTGCCCAGGATGTTGCCGACTTCGTTCACGCAGTTGGCAACACTGGTGAGGCTTTCGTTGACCGTCCTGGCAAGGAGGTCTTTGCCCCTATGGACTTTGCCATTGTGGCAGGCTGGCAGGCAATCACCAAGCCTATCTTCCCTCGCACCATTGACGGAGATCTGCTGAAGCTTGTCCACCTGTCCAACGGATTCAAGATGGTGCCCGGTGCCCAGCCCCTAAAGGTTGGCGATGTTCTGGACACCACGGCCCAGATTAACTCTGTCATCAACCAGGATTCTGGTAAGATGGTCGAGGTCTGCGGCACCATCAAGCGAGACAACAAAGCCATCATGCATGTCACCAGTCAGTTCCTGTACCGGGGTGCTTACACCGACTTCGAGAATACCTTCCAGCGCAAGGATGAGGTCCCCATTCAGGTTCACCTCGCAACCAGCCGGGACGTCGCCATCCTCCGCTCCAAGGAATGGTTCCGCATGGACGACTCTGACATTGAGCTTCTCGGCCAGACCCTGACCTTCCGCTTGCAGAGTTTGATCCGTTTCAAGAACACCACTGTCTTCAGCAACGTCCAGACCGTTGGACAGGTTCTTCTCGAGCTTCCCACCAAGGAGGTCATCCAAGTGGCATCTGTCGAATACGAGGCAGGTGACTCACACGGTAACCCTGTGGTTGACTACCTCCAGCGTAACGGAACTTCCATTGAGCAGCCAGTCTACTTCGAGAACCCCATCCCGCTCAGTGGCAAGACCGCTCTGGAACTGCGTGCCCCCGCCTCCAACGAGACCTATGCCCGTGTGTCTGGTGACTACAACCCCATCCACGTGTCGCGCGTCTTCTCCAGCTATGCCAACTTGCCCGGAACCATCACCCATGGCATGTACAGCAGTGCCGCTGTTCGCAGCCTTGTCGAGACCTGGGCCGCCGAGAACAACATTGGTCGTGTTCGTGGCTTCCAAGTTTCACTTGTCGGCATGGTCCTGCCCAACGACATGATCACCGTCAAGCTCCAGCATGTCGGTATGATTGCTGGTCGCAAGATCATCAAGGTTGAGGCTAGCAACAAGGAGACAGAAGAGAAGGTTCTCCAGGGTGAGGCCGAGGTTGAGCAGCCAGTCACTTCCTACGTCTTCACTGGCCAGGGTTCTCAGGAGCAGGGAATGGGTATGGAGCTGTATGCTTCTAGCCCAGTGGCCCAGGAGGTCTGGGACCGGGCTGATCGCCACTTCATGGAGAACTACGGTCTTTCCATTATTGACATCGTCAAGAACAACCCCAAGGAGCTAACCGTCTATTTCGGTGGTCCCCGGGGTAAGGCCATCCGGGAGAACTACATGGCCATGACCTTCGAGTCTGTGAACGCCGATGGGTCCATCAAGTCTGAGAAGATCTTCAAGGAGGTCGATGAGAACACTGCCTCGTATACCTACCGCTCTCCCACCGGTCTTCTCTCTGCCACCCAGTTCACTCAGCCAGCCTTGACTCTGATGGAGAAGGCCAGCTTTGAGGACATGCGCACCAAGGGATTGGTGCAGCGCGACAGCAGCTTCGCTGGTCACTCACTTGGTGAATACTCGGCTTTGGCCGCTCTGGCTGATGTCATGCCCATTGAGAGCTTGGTGTCTGTCGTGTTCTACCGTGGTCTGACCATGCAAGTCGCCGTCGAGCGTGATGCCCAGGGTCGCTCCAACTACTCCATGTGCGCTGTCAACCCCAGCCGTATCTCCAAGACTTTCAACGAGCAGGCACTCCAGTACGTTGTTGAGAACATTTCCGAGACCACTGGCTGGCTGCTGGAAATTGTCAACTACAACGTTGCCAACATGCAATACGTCGCCGCTGGTGACCTCCGTGCTCTTGACTGCCTCACCAACCTGCTGAACTTCTTGAAGGCGCAGAACATTGACATTCCCGCTCTTATGGAGAGCATGTCCTTGGAGGACGTCAAGGAGCACTTGGTCAGTATCATCCAGGAATGTGTCAAGCAAACCGAGGCCAAGCCTCGTCCCATCGCCCTGGAGCGTGGTTTCGCCACCATTCCTCTCAAGGGTATCGATGTGCCCTTCCACAGTACTTTCCTGCGCTCTGGTGTGAAGCCCTTCCGTTCCTTCTTGTTGAAGAAGATCAACAAGACCACCATCGACCCCAGCAAGTTGGTCGGCAAGTACATCCCCAACGTTACTGCGCGTCCCTTCGAGATCACCAAGGAATACTTCGAGGATGTGTACAGACTCACCAACTCGCCCCGCATTGCCTCTATCTTGGCGAACTGGGAAAAGTACGAAGAGGGCAACGAGACCGTTGCGAAATAATCTATTCCTGTTGATATCCTCTTTATAATGTTGTGTTTTTGATAGACCATTTTTTCGCTCTCATGGGTCATTATGTGATATGTCTCAAAGCCTTGGAGTTTTTATGTGCATGTATATGAGTTTCAGTTCGCATTTTAATACAGTTCTTTTCCATATCAGTTATACTTCCATACTCTTCTTGCACTTCCTAGAAATGTGCCAATATTTTATACAAAGATGAAACCTCAAGCAATTTACATATTAAACGCCAAACTGTTAACTATGGTAGTGGCAACATGTCACTAAATTGATCAGCCCCCTCAATAGGACTTAGCCAGTTCAGTCGTTGCTTGGTGTATATCTCCACCACAGGCGTCCGTTCATTCAAAATCCCCTTATCATCAAATATCCCGGCCCGGACGACTGTAGTCTCCTCGGAATCTCCATTGGGGTTGGTCTTCCGTCCAAATAGCGGGGTGCCTATCACTTTCGTCAGTTGCTTATCTTCCCCAACATTCAGTATGATACAAACCACAGTCAGGGCAGAAGTAATTCTTAATAGCGTTTCCACTATCCGATGTCTTTGGCACTTCCTTGGGACTTCCAGAGACCTTCAGGTCTGCAGTTTTGATGATGAAGTTGTAGCTATAGGGTGCCCCTGTAAGCTTGCGACAGTCGACACAGTGGCACAGTGCCTAATGGAGTGTAATGTTAGGTTAGGTTATAAACATTGAATCCTACAGACTGTACTAACCGATGCTAGAGGCTGGCCAACATATTCGATTCGAACATTGCCGCAAAAACAACCACCAACAGCCATTTTTATGTAGTATCTGCTGAAGCGTTTCAGAGTGACATTAGGCAACATATAAATAAGTTGGCTACATTCCGATGTCAGGGCTAACTGGCTTCTGACTAAGCACTTGGTGGCCCCAACAATAAAGTATTGGGCAAGCCCATTCCAACCATTACGACGATAACTCATGGTTATATATATATATATATACAAACGTACGAATGAAAATGATAACACGGAGTAAAAAAATTGTCAGGCTTATCACTTTACAGCGTACAGTAGGTATAATTTGACGAAAAAGCATAAAACGTACAGAGACTTTTCTATATATGAACAAAGATATCTGAACATCATTATCGCCCCGCACGGTTGAGAGGACCCCAGTTGGCACGGGGATTGAGCTGGTACCGCACCAGTCGTTTCTTGGTATGCGTAGCAGACACTTCACGGCCTAGAGCTTCATCAAAGACCACCTCAAGGGTGCTAGGGTGAGGCCGCGTGAAGAGCTGTGCTGGTGCCTTTCCCTTTTCCTTTTCCGGCACAGGCTGGGCATCGGCACCGGCATCAGCATCGGGGAGAGTCTCCGCAGAAGCGGCAGGGGCATTTTTCCAAGAGTTCCGCGATCCGGACCGGTAGAGAGCGGCTTCAACCTTAGTGACTAAGTCACTAACATTTTTGCCACCCTCGACGGCAGACATCAGGTCTTTTTTGAGGATAGATAACCATTGATCTTCGTCGCCCAATTTACGCAGGTTTTCACGGCTCTTGCTCATAATCGTCGCACCGGCGGTTTCGGGCTTCAAGGAACTCTCCTTGATAGGCGATTCCTGACGGACCCACTCGCGCATGATCTCCCAAATCACCTCCCAGGGCGCATCAGTGCGGATTGAGTTTGGCTTCGTGTGGCTACGAGTAGAGCGGTATCCGAGATGGCTGAGAGCACCGCGGAATTCGTCGATTGGGATGGTAGTGGCGTGAATGACCTTTGCGAGAGCACTGAGTGAGAAGTAGAATGGGTATTTTTCCCGAGCGGCAACGTCCATTCGAGGAATGATGGCTGGGTAGGCAGGGTCATGCTGGTTCTTGGCGCTTGGCGGGGGTTGTTTGGGAGTGGGTTGCTCGGATGAAGATGGTGTGAGGTCCAGGTCCTCTTCGAGGGCAGTGGTCAACATTCCCTCAATCCGAGCACAGGTCTGATATGTTTCGGGATCAGCTCCAGGAAGCATGTCCAAGATTTTCTGGATAAAGTCAGGATTGTGTAGCCGGCCGCCCCACATAGGTCCTGCAATATGTGTTTTTGTGCCGCAGTGCTCGCAGTGCGGTCCGGCTGTGGGCCCTTTGGCCAGGCCGTGGTGGTATATGGGGTTCCCCTTGCGGTCCAATCTGGCTTTGGTAGATATAAGGGTTTGTGTTGACCATGCGCCACAGCCGGTATCGCAATTGTATACGAGCATTGTGTTGCCTGCGGTAAATTTGACCTGTGCGGGAGATCGGTGGATCCGAACAAAGACGCGAGCGTAAAAGTCGATAGATAGAGACAATAATGGCTCGATGGCCACTCCATACTTAGATGCGGACATGGCAATAGCATTCAAGATCAATCGCAGACCACCTTCATGTGAGTGGAGGCCTTTAATAGGGATACCACCGTACAGAGAGAATGCTTTTTCCGAATAACCAGTTGACGCCCAGACACCGGCATCAGTGCAAGTAACACACAAAAGGCCACCATCTTTGGCTGCTTGCACTGCGGCATCCAGGAACGGAGATGCTGTGCCATATGGATCCAAATCAATGACGTCGAACTTGCTCGCGTGGTCAAGCCCATACATGTAAACTCGAGCATCGGCCAGATTGGGTTGAATCGTCGTAAGGTTGTTGTAGTCGATGTTTTTCTTCATAGACTTGATTGCTGACTCTGACAGGTCATTAGCCACGACCTTTGTGACAAATGGAAGCTCCGAGGCATAGCGAAGGGCACGCAGCCCAGTTGCAGACAGGGCATCAAGAACAGTGAAGGAAGCTGCGGTTTGCTCTGGTCGGGCGGCTGACTGCGGTTCTTGATCGGCCAGAGGAGCGGAGAGTGGTTGGTCGTTGGACTCTGTGCTTTCCTTTTGTTCTGCATTTGGGGCGGGTCTCGGGTTCTCGGTCTGGTCGTCTTCACGCTTCCGTTTCTTTTCCCCATTGCCTGCCTGTTTCTTCAGCTTCAGGGCCGCTTTTTGCTTCTTCTTGAGGTCGATAATATGTTCTCCATGAGCGCGAATGGCTAGCACACTAAGGTCGCGATTAAATTGTTGGATTGGGTTGTAGAAGACGGATTGCATTTGGTCATCGGCCTTGAGATCCTTCTTCGTTCCCTTGGAGGCGGCCGCTTGGGCAGGCGGGTTGAGGATCTTCGCCAAACCTTCCTTGACAATATGATAATTGTCTCCCTGGTATTCCACCAGCTGGATCTGAGGTTCCTCCATGACTCTAGAAGTGGAAAAGATTCGAGATCGGATCGAGGTGGGGGTCAAGCGGGGGAATTGGGCGAGAATAAGGGTGGGAACGAGTCTTCGCTTAGCGCATTTCGTTGCTGATCCAAAAATCAACGAGGGGTTCATGAGCGAAGCCTTTTACAGCATGTCGCAAGAGACGTTGAATGCGACGGAGAAAAAGATTCTACGCACAGACCAACTTCCAGTACACAACAATACCTGTTTTGTAATTTATATCAACTATAAAAGTAAGTACATACATACATGGAGAGCTATATCAGAACCAACTCTCACAATGAGAGATCAAGTAGCCCTATTTGTACCTAGTAGGTCACAGACAATTATCTCAGTGACACATCGGAGGATGAGTCTTGATTTGTGTATGGTAGAATTGATATTTTCCATGTCTTCAGACTCTTTTTATACATTAGGATTAAGTCTATGGGGATATTGTGTATAATCATACAAAGCTGTCACAGCCACTCCCCAATGATCGGGATGTGACTATACATCTCATTCCACCCCTTGGCTTCCCATCCCGCACCTTCGCCGGCACGTCCAACAACACCAAGGGCACCTGCAAGCCAGAGAGCCGCACCAGCAGCCGCGACTCCATTGACAACCCACCACATCTTGCGCTGTCTCTTCGACTTTGTTTCCGTAAGCCCAAGGTAACCATCCAACGAGCCTTTTTGGCCACGCTCCCTGCGTGCTGTGGTCACTCTCCAGCCCATCCAGGTCGCCCAGCCACCAACAAAGTGCCATACACTGGCAGTCACAAAGAAGAAATAGAAGGCATTCCAGAAAACAGGACTCCGAGCGAAGCCATGAGCAATATATCCAAGTCCTACGCCAGAGCTTCCTCCCTCAACGATCAATGGCGTGGCACGGTTGACCCATACGTGGAATCCAATCAGCGGCGCGACAAAGTATCCAGTGCGTGCCTGTAAAGACATCCGTGGCCAGAAATATAACGTGTTTCGCTGTGCGCGAGTCTCGGCGCCGTACAGACGGGCTCTGCGCCTAGCACGAATGTTGCGGAGAGCAATTCCTGAGGCAATATGCGCAATTATAGGAACCGTCAACACAAGATGCTCTAGACCGGGGGCTTGGTATATGGGTCGTGTGAGCAAAAGGTAGGATTCGCTCGCGGGCACGGAGCGAGTCACGAGTGGGATAAGAGAGGTGTTGGCGAGATGTAGGATGAAGAAAGCCGTAGGTGGGTAGGTTGAGTATTTTTGAATACCAGTTACTAAATGATCATTAGGGTTAGAATATGGATGTATAAACTAGCTTATTTGTCGCGTGACGTACGCCATGAATCCCAACGATGACCGCTAAGCCCTAGTTTGGGGATTGAAATTCCAGCTCCATGTTGCGTAAGAGAGGCTGCCCTAGGAAAGTATTCGCCGCTTTCAATATCCAGAACATCATGGACAGGGGATGGGTCTAATTCTTGCAGGGAGATGATAGACTTGGTGTCGATGTCTTCCGGCTTCGAGAGCTCGTCAAACGACATTGTATGATTTTCAGGATTTGGGGGTTTCAGGAACTGGGAAAATAGCACGAAGATAAAATTCGTAAGAAAGTAAGTCGTCAATCATGCATCCATATTTTATAGACAAACTAGGAAAAAGCAGGGAAATGTTGGGGTTTGAAGATCGCTGAGTCGCGAAAATACGGCAGCTCTGATAGGCTACTTCCTCTGCGGGTAATGACGATTGCCCAGAATCCTGGTGGTCAGGTGACTCTGTATACATCGCAGGTTACTACGGAGTATACATAGTAAGTAGTTTGACTTGCTTGATTTACTATAAAGGGTTGGTTGTATATGTGAAAGTCTTACTGATATATCTGAAACAGGATCTATATCGCTAGCTAATAATTAAAAGGAGTGCATAAGTCTAGAAGCTTAGACGATTAATAACAGATCCAATGAACCCATGTATGCCTGATTTCACTGGCGCCGCGCGTTGGACCCGCCAGTTATAAATACGCAGATGGTCGCAATGCGCAGCCGTACTAAACGCTCTCTCTCCGAATATCACTGATACTCTTGTTCAAAAACAATGGCACCGGTATGCTCTTCTTTTTTTGGTCCAAATCTGACACACCCCAGCTAACAATTATAGCGTGGTTTCACAAATCCCGCTCCCAGGGTAATTAATCACCCATGTTTGCCATATCGGCCACCGCCAAGCTAACCCTCATAGACCGAGTCAGCGCGGTCTGCGCTCAGCTCCTTCACCTGTACCCTGTGCAATAAATCCTACTCGCGCCACCCAGAATATGAAGCGCATATCGGCTCATACGACCACCAGCACAGAAAGCGTTTGCAAGATCTCAAACAGCTAACACGTGATCCCAATGCTGTCGAGAAGAACCGCCGCGCAGAACGTAAAGCCGATGCGCAGGCCGGTCTGAAAGTGATTGAGACTCCTGTGAACAATGTGGCACCAAGTGGGGGAAGCACGGGTTTCAAGAAGGGTGGCTTCAAAAGCTCATTCGCTACTATCAAGGGAACAGCGGCCCCCGCACCCCCAGTCAAGAGGAAGAACGTTCTAGGAGATGACGATGAAGATGATATCCCGAAACCTCGAGAGGATGGTCCATCACATGTACGCAAACCCCAAAAGAGTGAAGATGATGATGTGGAAAGCGAAACCGATGAATATGACCAAGAAGGATATTATGATCCTCGCCGGCCATCGGACTGCTTCCCTGGGTGTGTTGCCCAAAAGGTCTGATGTTGTGATGTCGGAAATGACTTGCGAGTTGAATATCTAATGGCGTTGAAGGGTACGGATTATCCTTTGTTTTAATTACTGTACAGCAATGAATTTCCATCTAAGCCGTTTAAGCACATTTACGTTGGTCCTGATCTTGGTGTAATGGTACATGCTTTCCAAAAGACTGTCTAAAACGGTTGGATAACAAAAGCAGAATAAAACGACATAAGATGGAACAGATGAAAGGGTACTAGGCACATGGCTATATTATTGCGAGCTCCTCACTCGCCCTCGTTTATTGGCTTACAGGCGCAGAAGCTTGGCGGCCTGGCTGACAATGGTGTCCTCCTGGGGGAAGGCCATGGCCTCAAGGCCAGCGGCGTAAGGAGTAGGAACCTCAGCACCGGTGACACGGACAGCGGGGGCGGTCAGGTAGTCGAAGCCGTACTCCATGGAGAGAGCGAGGATCTCAGAAGAAAGACCGAACATGGGGTAGCCAGACTCAACGACCATGATGCGGCCGGTCTTCTTGAGGGAGGCAATGATGGTCTCAACATCAAGGGGCTTAATGGAGCGCAGGTTGATAACCTCAGCGTCGACACCGTACTTCTGCTTGAGCTCGGCGGCGGCGGTCAGGGACTGACCGACGCAGCGAGACACAGAGACGATGGTAAGGTCCTTTCCGGGGCGCTCAATCTTGGCCTTACCGATGGGCAGGACGAAGTCGTTCTTCTGGGCAGCCTCGCTCATGGGGAAAGCCTGGCCGTACAAGAGCCTGGCATTGGTTAGTTCACGCGGAATCCAGAAAAATGGGCTGGTGGAATCTTACTCGTTCTCGAGAACAACAACGGGGTTGGGGTCACGGATAGCAGCCTTGAGCAGACCCTTGGCATCCTCAGCGCTCCAGGGGGAGACAACCTTCAAACCGGGAATGCTGCCGTACCAGGCGGAGTAATCCTGGGAGTGCTGGGCGGCGACACCGGAAGCGAAACCGTTGGGACCGCGGAAAGTGATGTTGCAGGGCTGGATACCACCGGACATGTAGTGAGTCTTAGCGGCGGAGTTGATAATCTGATCGATGGCCTGCATGGCGAAGTTGAAGGTCATGAACTCGCACTAGATCATAAACGATTAGCATGCGATCCTAGATCAACCGTCATTTCCTGAAATACTCACAATGGGGTGCAGACCGGCAAGAGCAGCACCAACGGCGATACCACAGAAGCCGGCCTCTGTGATGGGGGTATCAATAACCCGCTTGGGACCGAAGCGGTCGAGCAGACCCTTGGTCACCTTGTATCTACACGGGCGAAAGGTCAGCGTCGGTTTCGCTTCAACTAGAACTTTAAGGATCACTCACGCTCCGTTGTACTGTGCGACTTCCTCACCAAGGACGAAGGTCTTCTGGTTGAGTTCCAACTCCTCCGCCAAGGCCTCGTTCAAGGCATCACGAACGGTGACCTGCTTGGTGCCATTCTCGGTAGCATATCCACGGCGCAGAATTGAAGGAGCACAGGCGGTCTGGCGGAGATTCGAGCGCAGAGCAGTGGAAGCAAGGCGCGAGGAAAACAGACGAGCTGTTGGGCGGAAAAGTCGGGGAGCTGACATTGCGGAAATATGGGGGGAATTGAGAAGATGAAAACAAAGAAAAAGAAAAAGTATTCAATTAAAGATCGCAGACCGAACCGGACCGCAAAAACAATTGAATAGAAGAACGGGAGAGTAGATCAAAGTGAATGCCCAGGGAAAACTTATCGCCGTATAATCTTTGAGATGCAAATCCGAAGATGTTGGGCAACACGTGATATCAGAGCTCACCGGTACTGTAACCGTAACCATACCAGAATTAGAGAGCTCACCCTAAGGCATCCTCGACCTTCCAAGGTTGTTTACACAACATATCTTCCAAGGTTCTCAGACCTTATCGACTTTTTAGTTGTTATAATTACCTGCTTCCTTCCAGAATCTTTCAAGTTCTGCCAAGTATTTTCCTTGCAGTTAATACATGCTTTTATACACTCTTCCAAGGGTGTATTGTTGGTACTGATGTTGTCCTTGCTCTGGCTACTTCCGTCGGCGCTCGCCGCTCAACCCTCCGCACCCGACCCCATCTCCGCTCCGCTACGAACTCTTGATTTCGGGCAACTGAATTTCCTCCATACTACCGATACTCATGGCTGGCTGGCTGGTCATTTGCAGGAGTAGGCTTTGGACCCTGCTAAGCTTTGAGTTATACTAATCATCGCAGACCGTCCTACTCCGCAGACTGGGGAGACTATATATCGTTTACGACACGCATGCGGGAAAAGGCGGAAGCACAAGGACAAGATCTACTCGTTATAGATACTGGTGACCGAGTCGAAGGGAACGGCCTATATGACTCGTCCGAGCCCAAGGGTATCTACCTTTCAGACATCTTGCAGCACCAGCACATCGACCTGTTGACGTCGGGAAACCACGAACTATACAAGCAAAATACATCGGAAGCTGAGCTTCTTGTCACCGTTCCTAATTTCCGGGGCAACTATCTGGCTTCAAATATCGATATCATTCACCCGACCACGAAGGAGCTTGTGCCTCTAGCCCCGCGGTTTAAGAAGTTTACTACCAAGAAACAAGGCATCCGTATAGTAGCCTTTGGCTTCCTCTTTGATTTCAACGGAAATTACAACAATACTGTGGTTCAAAGAGTATCCTCTACTATCAAAGAGGATTGGTTCCAAGAAGCCATTCGGGATAAAGAAGTGGATCTGTTTTTGGTGATCGGCCATGTGCCTGTTCATTCGCCGGAATATCGGGCGATCTTCAAGGAGATCCGGGGAATTCGTTGGGATACTCCAATCCAATTCTTTGGTGGGCACCAGCACGTGCGTGACTATGCCCAGTATGATTCCAAAGCCTTTGGCCTAGCGAGTGGTCGATTTATGGAAACTGTTGGCTTCATGTCAATCGATGGCCTCGCTAGCAAAACAAGCCAGCAGTCTGCTGCTGGCCCCGTCTTCAAGCGCAGATACATTGACAACAATATCTTTTCTTATTATCATCACACCGGTCTTGATCAAGAGACCTTCCCTACCGAAAAGGGCCTCAATGTCTCCCGATTGATCGCCAAAGCACGGACCGATCTTCATCTGGACCAAATTCATGGATGTGCTCCACATGATTTATGGATGTCGCGAGTCAAGTATCCGGACCCTAGCAGCATCTACACCTGGCTTGAGACTCAGGTTTTGGGTGACTTGAAGGATGAAACTCGTGGAGACACACCTAGGGTAGCCATTATTAATACGGGCGCTATGAGGTTCGATATCTTCAAGGGACCTTTTACCCAAGACTCGACTTTTATTGTATCTCCATTCACCAGCACCTTCCGCTATGTGAAAGATGTGCCATATGACAAGGCACAACTTATTGTCGAGGTTTTGAACGAGCAGCCTCAGGTTTTATCTACGGATGAATCTTCATTGACAACCTTGGGCCCTCTTGAGCAACTTGCATATCCGGAGGACGTGATTGCCCAAAATTGGGCTTCAGCTAGTGGGCAAATTCCCATGTCCGGTCCGGACCTCGTGCCTGGTTACACGACAAAAGACGATGCGGGCACAGATGGCGATGACACCATCCATGCACCCATCAACTTTTACCGCGTGCCCAACTGTATTCAAGCTCTCAAATCTGCCAATGCATCCGAGACACCGAAGACGGTGGACTTGGTCTACCTTGACTTCATCGAGAAATATATAATACTGGCCGCCAAGTTTGCTGGTCTCGATGTCGACATCGCAAAGGAGAGCGATGTGTACATGCCGAACGTGTCTCTAACAAACCTGATCCTTGACTGGGTGAAGAAGAACTGGGAGTGTTGATAAATATACTATGTAGCTCAGTTAATTGTGTTACAATTCATTCCTTTTTTTTTTCTGGACTCAAGTTGTACTGGGGCCAATTGACCACGAAGTAAATATCGGGAGCAAACCGCCTAGCTTTATAATACATTCATATTGGCTATTGACTTAATCACCGCCGTTAAAGGTGAACACACCCTTCCCACTGCGGTAGCCGCCCAAAGTGCCCTGCACACTCTCTGCCAACTCCGGGCCCTCGGACTCCCAGTTCCACTTGACCTCATCCACTGGGATATCCCGGAACTTGCCAGTGCGAGTCAATTGAAGCACATCCTTGATAGTGCTCTCCTTCAGCTCGGGGTTCTTGTCACCCCACTTGCTGACCCAAAACCCGTCGAACGCGAGGTTCTTGAAGATCAGCAGGCCCGAAGGCAATGCAACAGGTTGCTTCGACATGGCCCCGTAGGTCACCATGTGCGAATCAGGAGCCAAAGTCTTAGCCAGAGCGGTGGCATTCTTCCCGCCTACGCAGTTCAACGCCAGACGAATGGGCTCCCGGCCCTGGCGAGTGAACTCGTGAACCATATCCCGGAAGTTGCCAGTAAGCATCTCCTCCTCGGTGATAACAACGGTAGCTCCCAGATCCCGGAGCTCCTTCTTGAGAGCCTCAGTCTCCTCGGGTGTCTTGCGCTGTCGAATGACATTGAGCGTCTTGATTCCCCACTCACGGCCAAGCTGAATAGCTGCCCGTCCGACACCGCTGTTTGCACCGTTCTGAATCACCCATTCCTCGCCGGCACGCATCCAATCCCATTCACAGAAATCCCGAAGCATACGGTACGCAGTGACAGGGTTGACGCTGACAGTGCCAACCTGCAGCGGGGTCAGACCCTCCTTGTTCTCAATCTTGATCAACTGGGATTCGTCCAGCTGTGCGTGGGTACGCCAGGTACCCAGGCCTGTGCGCTTCATAATGACCCAGTCGCCTTTGCTGAGGTTCTTGACGCCCGCACCGGTTGACAGCACCTCGAATGCGCCCTCGTTTCCTCCGACTGCGGCGGGCTCTGCATTTCCGAGTTCTGTTTGGAAGGGAGGTTTGCTGGGATAGACACCCTGGATCTGGTTCACGTCGGCCGGGTTCATCGGCGAAGTCAACAGGCGTAGGTTCACTTG